AGTCCCATCAAGCTTTTATTCTTCTGTCTCCATCAGTCTTAAAAGGTGGTATCTTATTGGATTTTATTATATATGATAATATAAGCAAAAACTTTTATAGGCAAGGAGATTATACAGGAACCATTGTTCATTTTCTGCTAATTGGTTCTAAATACCCTGTAATAATGTCATTCTCTTGAATGGTTTTATAGTGTCTTGATATGTTTGGTGCTACAGTATACAAAGTTACACTCAAAGATTTCAAGGAAAGAGACACTATGGTAACTATTTTTATGTCAGGATATCTTGTGGTGAAACACTATTTTGCTTAAATGGTTATGCTTTGATCTGCACTGTTCTGTTGTTATGCTCTCTTTTATCTCAATTCCCCCCTTTTTAAAATTATTTACTTTTTTATTTTTATCTTCTTAATTAAGGGAAAAATAAATAAAAAATAGCAGGATATATTATAGTAACCTACTTTGATTTTCTATTAATTTGATTTGAAATCCTGTATTGCCCTCACCATCTTGTTTTGACTGATTTTCCCCTATTCTGCTTTGCTTGATAGTACCAAGTTCGAAAGTATAGGCAACAACTGTGAAGACAATAAGATTCATTATGACGCCCATTCTGGTTGACTATTATCTTCTTTTAAAGTCCTATAATGTCTCAATGCTTTGGTTTTATTCTTTACTGTTTTGTTCAATTTTATTATAACTGATGATATAGGCAATTCTTCTTAAAATAGCAAGAAGCAGTATGGTAACCATTGTTGATCACCTTGTATTTTGTTTTTACATTATCTATTATGTCCATCCTTTTGATTTTTTTTGTCTTTTTCGTTTTTATTGGTACCAGGGATTGAACTCACGACTGCCTGCTTACAAGGCAGGCGCTTATGCCGCTGAGCTAAATCCCCAGCCCCCATCCTTTTGATTTGACTGACTCTGTCGCATTTGGTTTTACTCTCTTCAAAAAAAGTAATAAGAACTGTGGGAGTAATAAAACCCAAAATGTGTAATTGTGATTGTACAAAAGAAAAGAAAGTGCTGTGAAGGTTATAATTGCATATATGTTTAAGTGTATAAAATAGATAACCGTATTACTGAGTTTTTTTGATCATTCAACAAAACTGTTTGCACTCTCACTGTTTGAAAGTACACTTTATATGCTTTAATTTTGTAACTTGAACAACCATTTCTAAGATGAGAATATGTAATCTATTAACTAGTGGTTTCTTACTGTTTATTTTTTAAATTTTGTATTACTTGTACCTTTTCTGTTTTTTTCTTTTTCTCCTTAAATTAAAAAACTTTTATTTATTTATTTATTATTTATTTATTTACTTTTAGCCCTGCTGCTTTATGTCTGTCCAAAAAGCGGTCTGTGTGAGCATAAAGGAAGCTCGTTCAACCTTCACGCGGCTTGTTCTTGTCTCTGAGATGGCAGACTGGCTTTTATGCTAATCCTGGATATACCTGAAGGAGGGGGCAAGAGTGCACACCTGCAATCTCAGAGCTCTAGCAGGCTTCAATAGGAGAACTAAAGTTAAAGCCAAGTCTGGGCACCCTTGTGACTCAGTGAGATCCCTGTCCCAAAATTTAAAAATGGTTGGAGTTGTAGCTCAGTATGAAAGCTCTGGATTCAGTCCTCACTAATAGTGTAGGAAGGGGATACACACGGAGGAACAGAGGATATTAAATCTCATTCATCCTGTCACCTGTTTAAAAAGCGGTACATTGAGGCTAGGTGTGGTCCCCGAATGCATCTCTAATCCCAGAATTTGTAAAACAGGAGGACTGCTGTGAGTCCGAGGCCAGCCTGGGCTGCATGGTCAGTTCAGGGCCAGCCTGGACTACATAGTGAGATCTTGTCTCAAAGAAACAGACACAAATGCATATTGAACCATCCAGTCTGGCAGCTTTACCAGGCACCAGCATTCTGAATGGTGAGCAGGTACCTGCTTTCCTGGAGACTGCATTCTACCAAAAAAGGGATACAGTGGACAGAATAATTACACAGATAATCATGAATCACATCTGTAGTAGAGGTGACCAAATGGTTGGTATAAAGTAGACTCAAGCTTCCGGGACAGTGACCTGCAGAACCCGCTGCTTTCGTCTGCGTTACGAACCCTGGAAGCTTAGGCTGCCTGCAGTCAGACAGAAGGTGATAGTATCACCTTCTCGGTGCTCTAGAATCTGCAAATAATGTTACATTATATGATAAAGTGGATGCTATTAAATTCAGGATTTTGAGGTAGAGAGGTTATTCTGAATTGTCCTGGAGGGTCCTGTGTAACAGTGTGGGTCTTTATAAAAGGAAGCAGAGTGGGATTTACCCCAGGACAAGAGCAGTGTGACCCAGGAACAAGAATCTAAAGTGCTAAACTGGGCATGATGATGCATATCTGTAATTCCAGCATTGAAGGAGGCTGAGGGATAGAGGATCAAAAATTTAAGTCCTGGACTGGGGATTTAGCTCAGTGGCATAAGCGCCTGCCTAGCAAGCATGAGGTCGTGAGTTCGATCCCCAGTTCCCGCTCCCCCCCCCACCAAAATTTATGTCCTGCCTGGCCATTTAGCAAGGCACTATCTCAAAATAAAAAATTAAAATGTAGTTCAATGGTAGACCTCCCTGGGTTCAATGCCCAGCCAATGAAAAACAGAGAGAGAGAGAGAGAGAGAGAGAGAGATTGAGAGAGGAGAGACTGAGTTGCTAGCTGGATGTGGTGGCATAAACGTGTTATTCCAACACTCTGGGAGGCTGAGGCAGAAGAATTGCATGGGCAACTTAAAGATTTAAAAAGATCTTGTCTCTGTTTCTATCTATCTGTCTATGGTTGGGGTTGTAGTTCAGGGCAAAGGATCTAAGTTCAATCTCTAGCACCACAAGAAAAGAAAGTTATCAGTTTTGAAAATGAACAAGTGTACCACAAGCAAGTAACATAGTTGTAGAAGCTGGGAAATGCAAGGAAATGGATTCTCTTCTAGGGCTCTAGAGACAGTATGACCCCGTGATGCTGATTTCAGATTGTAACAAGGCACCTTTGTTATAGCAGCCATAGGACACTAATAATACACTGATACAGATGTCCTTCTCATGATAGGCTGTTTCTCATCCTCTCATCCACCTCAGATACCCTTACAGGACACCATGTACATGCATGAATGGGTGTCATGGTTCCCAGCTGGGGAGATTGCCTCCCCCCCCCCAGACATGTGACAGTATCTAGATGATTTTTATTGTCACAGTGGGGGAGGTTTGCTACTGGTATATAGTAAGTGAAGGACAGAGATGCAGCTGCATATCCTATAGTGCACAGGATGGCAAAGATCCCTTAAATGATGCCTTATAATGTCAGCAGTGCTGAGGTTGAGACATGCAGGATTATCTCTAATACCCATTCCTAGAAATGCAATTGCTGAGCCAAAGAATGTGCGCTGTGGAAATATTGTAGACGGTTCCATATTGCCTACGGCTAATTTTAAGCTCAGGAACATGCTGTGGCTTGGAGCAGTGGCTCATCCTCTAGGTTTCAACTTACCACCTCTGAGACCTTGGTTATGGGTGATGTGTGTGGCCATGGGCTCCAAAGCGAGAACAACCCAAGCCTGGAGTCAACCAGGGTACAGTGGAGAGGCAGGTATGTGAATCAGTGGTCAAAAATTATGGTGCTGGCAGCACAGGGTCCTTTCAGTAAATAATTTTATCTTGAGTACCTGCCATGTACTGGCTGCAGGGATCAACTGACATATCTGCTGTCACAGAGGCCCCAGTATAGTGGAGGAGACTGATCAGAAAACAATCCCTGTGATTCACTGGGGAAGTCAAGGAGGGCTTCATGAAGACAGTGACTTGTTGCTAGGAAAATAAACTGTTTACCGTTATCACTGAATGATCATCATGACTTCAGTCCTTACAGGAGCTGGGGTGTCTTCTAGTCCCTCAGGTTATAGATGTCACTCTTCCTTTACCAACTGAATGAGCTTCAGCTCCACCACACCAAATCCTGTGAAGTCCCTCTGTCTTTGAGGGTGCTGAGCATCGAGCAAGAGCACAGTCCACTGTGCCACAAGTCCCCCACCCTGGAGCCATCCTGTTGCTAGCACCTCTGTCTTTGCACCATTTCTCTGGTGCATGCTTGAGGAAAGAACTGTTTTGTCTGAGCAACAATGCTACAAGAGTGACCTGATAATTGGACATAGTGGTAAATACCTGTAATCCCAGGCTGAGGCAGAGGATTACCATGTGTTTGAGGCTATGTAATGAGACATAATCCATAGGGGTGGGGAGAGAGAGAAGAAACAGACATGTGACTTGCTCCGCTGGAATTTTTGTAGCAGCCTGGCCAGACACCACAGAACTGTTTGCTCATCATTCTGGCCTTCTAGGGCTGGGAAAATAGGTGGGGCCCACATGGCTCAGGGCTTTGGGGACAAGAGCCAGAGGTCCACGAATAATGAGAGGGTGGTTTGTCTGTCTGTGGTACTGAGAGTTGAATCCAAGGCCTCTGCACTGAGCTACCTCTCATCCCAGGTGTAGTCAGCTGTCTATTGTTTGTTTATTTTGAGACAGGGTCTCACTAAGTTACCCAGGCTAGGCTCAAATTTGTGATCTTCCTGCTTTAGCCTCCCAGAGTTCTGGGATTACATGGGTGTGCCACCACGCCCAGCTGATGGGGAGGTTTTAGAGTTCATGATCCAGCCCGGGTTCAGGAGTGAGAAATCCAGCTCTGGCTCACAGTGGAGGGGAAGGGTCTCCCAAGGATCTTGGATCTTGGATCTTGCACTTAAAAGAACCATGCTTTCATTTGAGGCTAGCTTGTGTTGGGGCTGTAGCTCAGTGGTAGAGCACTTGCCTAACAATTACAAGGACCTGAGTTTAATCTCTAGTACCACAGAAAACAAAACAAACAAAAAAAACATTGCCAAGGTTATACTCCCAGAAAAGCACTAGCCTAATGTTTGCAAAAGTCATTTACAGAATGCCTTTTGTCATCAAAGCACAGTTATTTATAAAAGACAATGTCCACCTTTAACAGATGCTCTAGGACACAGTGTGTGTTGGGGGCTGGCTGCTGAGAACTTGGGGACCCCAGCGGGCCTGGATCTTTTGGAGCTCAGAAATCATACTTGGGCTCCTCTTGGGCCTGCTTGCAGGCCTTTGAGGTCCTGGGTGAAGTCAGCTGTCCAGCAGAGGCGTGAGCCAGGTTCATGGGGGCCAGGTTCACCCAGCCTGGCCCGCGTGGGAGCTGGTGGCTCTCGTTGAGTCTGACAACACGGTAATTCTCATAGTGGATGTTGTGGGTGATGTCCTTCAGGTCTTGGAGGTGGGAGCTGGGCAGTGGGAGGCAAGTCAGCCCCAGTCGTGGTGGCCCCTGGGGCTCCCTTTCCAGTGGTCCAGCCCCAGGATGTCCCAGGCTCACCGGATGAGCAGATCTCTCAGGAGAGGAAACTCGCAGTGCGCCATGTTCTCCACTGTGAGATATGGTGCTAAGTGGGGGCTGCGTAGCTGCCATGCCCTCTGAGAGAACTAAGTAAGCACCTGGTCTCTACGTATGCCACCTGAGACCCACCACTGCTGTTTCCCCATGTTTCTCACTGTGTTATTCCACCTCCCCTCCCCTGGTTCGTTCATTCATTAATTCTTGGGCCTGGTACAGTTCTTCCTACAAAAAGTTGTTCAAACTCCTCTTCACTATTATATCATATTATGCTTTTTGTACCATGGATAATATACATATATTTCTACTACTGAGAACAGTAAATTGGGGTCCAGCTCCCTCACTTTCCAGCCCCTCCCCTCAGCAGAAGGCCTTCCAGCTCCCTAGGCTCCTGCTTCCTCCCTGCTCTCACCAGTTCCCTTCAGTTTCTTCCTCTGCCATTGTTTCATTCGCCCTATGGGGACAGGGACTCATCAGTCCTGCTTTTGTTTTATTCCTTTAGGAATTGCACAAAGCGGTCCCAGGCACTTAGTAGGCTCACAGTAAATTCAGTGAGTGCTGGAAGTTGTCCAAATGATGGCACTAGCTTCTCCAAGCACCTTGGGAGGTTGATGTTGCCCTAACAGCACCCATTTCACTATGAGGAGAAAGCCTCCGTGATGTAATTTGCTCAGGCCTCCCAGATGGGAGGGGGGATTTCTCAGGTATCTGTGTGAGGGCTACCTGTCTGTGGGCTTAACCACTCAGGGCCAGGAAAAAGTACCCAGTATGCCAAAGACATACGGCATATCTTGGTTTCCAACTTGCCTTCACCTGCATCCTCCCAGGCTCCCAGCACTGACCTTCAATGATGCCCCAGTTGGTCTTCCGGCCCAGGACACACCTCCCATTCACCAAGTGCTCTTGGTCTGCTCCCACCACAGCAAATGGGATCCGCTCCTAGGGGCAGTGGAGGTGGGAGGATGGGTTGGTAGGGGAGGCCCCGAGGCAGGAGGAAGACACTGTCCTTTGCTGAGATGAGACTAAAGTTCTAAGGAGGTGCAGGCCTGTCATCCCAGCATAAGGGAGGCTGAGGCAGGTGGATTGCTGGGAGTTTGAGGCCAACCTGGGCTACAAAGTGAGCTTAAGACCAGCCTAAACTTCACGGTGAAACCTTGTCTCAAAAAAGATTTTAAAAAATTGTAAGGAGTCCAAAGCCACAAAAGCTAATACCATGCCTCTGTTGCCTTATCTGTAAAATGGAGACATGTACAAGACTGGCATAGGGCTTTGTGAGTAGTATTAAAGTTATAACAGAGTAACTGTTGGAAACTACCTTTTTGTTTCTTGTGTTTTAAAAAATAGGATTTTATTATGTAGTCCAGGCTGGTTTTGAACCCTCAGTGATCTTCCTGCCTCAGTCTTTCTGGGGCTGGGATTACAGGTATGTACCACTATGCCTGGTAAAAATTGTGTCTTTTTTTTGTGTGTGTGTTTTTCATTTTTTATCGGTACCAGGGATCGAACTCACAACTGCCTGCTTGCAAGGCAGGTGCTTATGCCGCTGAGCTAAACCCCCAGCCCCAATTGTGTCTTTTTTAATAGTTATGGTAATAATATAATCTTGGATCCGGGGGTGTAGCTCAGTGGTAGAACTAGCACTTGGTAGGTACAAGGCCCTTTGAATATAATGATAAATAATGTATTAACTATTATCATTCTCATTATTTTGTTATGAAATTTTAATTTTCATAAAAATTTTTTCTAAAGTGGCTTTGTAAACCAGGCCCTGGCAACCCGTGGCCCACAGTAACACTGGGCCTGCTGCCTGGTTTCCTTCAGAGAGTTTTATGGGCACACAGTTAAGCCCATTCATTCCCCTTCTCTGGTCTGCAGCAGCTGTGAACCACAATAGCAGAGTTGTGTAATCCCAGCAGAGACTGTCTGGCCCACAGAGTTTGAAACATTTACCTTCCCAATTGAGCATTGGAAGTTAAACCCAAGGCCTTATGCATGCTGGTCCTGAATCAAACTCAGGACCTTCTCAAAATGTTTGCCAAGCCCACACTACTGTAACATCTAGCTGCTCTATTATAGGTACAAGTGGAAATCCAAATTTGCAGTCTCCAAAGCACCATACACGTTATTTATCTATTTTGTAGTACTGAATAGTGAAACTAGTGTCACTAGTACTGAATGACATCCCGTCATTTTTATTTTTTATTTTGAGACAGGACTCACTAAGTTGCCCTGATGAGCCTCAAACTTGCAATTCTTTTGCTTCAGCCTCTTAAGTACCAGGGTTACAGGCACATGTCACCAAGCTTGGCTATTATTATCACTATTATTATTATTATTATTATTGAGCATTGGGAGTTAAACCCAAGGCCTTATGCATGCTGGGCAAGCACTATATACAACTGAGCTGTATCTCCAACACCTATTTTTACTTTGACGAGGTAACTTGTATGGGGAATAAGATTAATAGTAATAACTATAGTTGCATGCTTATTATGGGCCAGCCCACTCTAAATGCATGTGTTTGAATGATTTACTGAGATGTTGAATATGTTCTCCTGGTCATCCCCATGCTCTCTTCCAGCAGCGACTGGCCTGCTTCAGGACAGAAAGCACAAGCTGGTGGAGACCAGGCTTTTGGAATCTTCCACAGGAAACTGGGTTCATTGCTTCAGTGGGAAGGGGGAGGAAGGGAATCACCGATGAGAAGTGAGGTCTCCATGTATAGATGTACAATTTGGACACAGCTCTAAGAGACAACTGGCCATGAACCTGGGTGGGACTGAAATCACATGCAGACCCAGCTGTGAAGGAAGCACTCTCCCTACTCCTACTGTGGAGGTTAGCAGAGTCCCTGGGAGAGAGGTTGAGGCCTGGGGTCTGCAGGTGATGATCCTAGTTTTGTAGGATCCAGACAGACTGACAATGAATGTGCCACACAGGTGGCAGGATGGGGGCTTTGGGTAGGAATTCAGCTGATTTGGAGAAAATCAAAATGGGAGGCTGTATGTTGTTTACCTCTCTCCTTTCTTTCCCCCTTCTTTTTGTACCAGGAATCGAACTCAGGACCTTACACTTGCCAGGCAGGTGCTGTGCCACTGAGCCATATCCTCAGCACTCTTTCGTTATTTCTTTCTTTCTTCCTTCCTTTCTTACTTTTTAATAACAGCTTTATTGAGGTATAATTCACATATATAAATTCTACTCTCTTAGGGTGTATAGCTCAGTCCAGGCATGGTGACACATGCGTATAATCCCAGCACTCTGGAAACTTGAGGTAAATTTGAGCCTAGACTAGTCATTTTTGTGACTTAGCAAAACCTTTTCTCAAATTCAAAGAAGGGCTGGGTCCCTGGGTTCAGTTCCCAGTACCACAAAAGCAACTAACCAACTAACAAACTAACTAACTAAAGTGTACAGTTCAGTGGGCTGTAGTATATTCACCAGGTATGCAACCTTCATCACTAATTGTAGAACATTTGCATTACTCCAAAAAGAAAACCTACATCCATTCTCCCCTACCCCCAGCCTTAGGTACATATTAATCTGTTTTCTGTATTTATGGATTTGCCTATTCTGAACATTTCATATAAATGAATTTAAATTTGTATCTGACTTTATTTATTGTTTTGTCTTTGAGACAGGGTCTCACTATGTTGTTCAGGCTGGGCTTGAGCTCACTTTGTAGCCCAGGCTGGTCTCGAACTTGCAATGATCCTCTTGTCTCAGCCTCCTGATGGCTGGGATTATAGGTGTGCACCACCACACCTGGTTTATCTGACTTCTTTCAATGAGCACAGTGTCCGTGCCTCCTTCCTCCCTGTGGCCGAGCACTGTCCCATGGTGTGGGCACCATCCCATGTTGTTTTTCTCCAATAATCTGTTGATGGGGAGTTGGGTCATTTTTACTCTTGGGCTGTCATGTTTAGTGCTGTTGCGGACATTCATGGACAAGTTTCTTGAGCAGTCATGTGTTCTTACTTTCCTTTGTGTGAATGTATGTCTTCACGAATGTGTTTGTGCAACTTGGCAGTGTGGTTACTGGGTCATAGTGTGACGGATGTCTATGCATTTGAGGAGCTGCCAGGTGTCTCCCAACCTGCTGCACCACTGTGCTCCCCACTAGCAGTGTGTGAGGGTTCTAGCTCCACTGTGTCCTGGGCAACTTTGCTTTTTATTATGGCTGTTTGCTACAGTTTGAGTGTGATTAATCTATTCTGAAACTCAAGTTCAGGGGCAAGAAAATTTTGCTAGTGATTCCTCAGGTAAATAACTAATATCTAGAATAAATAAAGAACTAAAAAAAATTAAATCTCCTAAAATAAAAGAGTATCAAAAAATGAGCACCTGAAACATATAGACCTTTCTCAGAAAAAGTACAAATGGCTAATAAATACATGGAAAAATGTTCAGTATCTCTATTAGAGAAATGCAAATTAAAGCAACAGTGAGATTCTACCTTACTCCAGAAAGAATGACATCGAATAATAATGAATGCTAGTGATGCTAGTGATGTTTCCTATTTGTGGATGGGAGTGTAAACTAGTATGCTCGCTAAGGAAATCAGTATGGTGATTTCCCTAAAAAATAAAACAAATTCCATCACACCCTACTATTTCCCTACTATGTATTTTGTAAAAAAAGTTAAAGACATCATACTACAGTGATACACATAATTCTTAGTAGTTATATTTTGGAAACAGCCTGTATGTCCATCAATAAAGAAATGGATTTTTAAAATGTGGCATTTATACATATTGGAATACTACTCTGCAAAAAAAGAAAGATAAACTAGAGTCATTTATATTAAGTTAGATGCAATTTGAGACTATAATGTTAAGTGTGACCATAATCAGACATGTAAACTTAAGTATCACGTAGTTTCTAACATTTTTTTTTTTTGTCTTTTTCCTTTTTATCGGTACCAGGAATCAAACTCATGACTGCCTGCTTGCAAGGCAGGCGCTTTGCCGCTGAGCTAAATCCCCAGCCCCAAGTATCACGTAGTTTCTGTTAGACAAGAAACCTAAAATATGAATGAGCAAATAAAAGATAGATAATAGTAAATAGGGAGACAGATCTTTTGTAAATGAGAAGGGAAGGAAGATGCAAGGAAGAGGCAGGGAAGGGGGTGAAAAAAGAATTAAGATGCATGATGGACATGTACTAACTCTCCCCAAGAAATATAATCATTCACCTCCCCTCCCTGGCAAGCGGAGGCAGGGTGGCAGCCTGCAGCCCTTCTGGGGGAGAACCAGCAGTGTCTCCTGAGATCCACGCCATGTTAGAACTGAGGACGCTGTGAAAACAAACGACCATCCTGCCTCCCTGCTTAGCAATAGTGAACCTACTGCTACATGGCCTAGAGTCAAATATCCCACTTCCCCTAGCCTCCTTCTCCTCCTCCTCCCCGCCCATTAGCAAGTGGGAACCAGAAATCTGAGCATCTCCTGGGAGACTGACCATAGCAAATAAGGGGGACTTCCTTCTACCATTTCTTTGAAGGCAAATATTTTTATTACTGTTTTGTTCTTTTCTGATTAATGGTACTGCTCTATTCAATATTCTGTTTTGATAAGTTCTATATTTCATCTCATTTTGATATACGGGATTGAAAGAACAACTATTATAAAGATAACAAAATATACTGTGATACCTATTACTGTTATCCCGGTAACCTGCTGTGAAGTTCTGTACCAATTTCACTGTACAATCTTAGTTGGCTTTATTTTGACTTGGTCTGTTGTATACTTTCAAAATAAAAATTAAAAAAAAGAAATATAATCATTATGCTCTGCAAACATGTACTAGTAAAAATAGAAATTGAGAGAAAAAAACTCCAGCTGGAGGTGATGGCCACTGCAGCAGTGTTGGGAGGTGGAGCTCAGGCAAAGCTGTATGGAGGGGGCAGAGCCTTCCTGAGTAGATTAAGGAGGTGTGCAGATTGAGCTGTTGCTCTTGTGGAACTAGATGGGTTACCCTGAGAGCAGGCTGTTACAAATTGAGTTAGGCTCCCCTGGTTTTTTCCTTGCTTTCTCTCTCACCATGTCACTGCTCTGCACACATCCACTGTCCTTTCCACATTTCTATGAGGCCCTCACCAGAAGCCACATAGATGTGGTCATGCTATCTTGGACTTCCCAAACTGTGATTTAAATGAGGTTCTTTCTTTATACATTTCCCAGCCTCAAGAGTTCTGTTATAGCAATAGAAAACTGACTAAGTGGTCACTCAGATGAGCGTGGAGTGGTCCTCTCACTATGGTTTCGATTTGCATTATTCTAATATCCTTTTCAGTCACTTGTAGCTCTTTAGAGAAATAACTATTTGGCTGGGGATTTAGCTCAGTGGCATAAGCGCCCGCATGCAAGCGCATGGTCATGAGTTTGATCCCCGGTACAAAAAAAAAGAGAGAGAGAGAAATAACTATTCAGATCTTCTGTTTGTCTTTTTGCAATGCCGAGGATTGGACCCAAAGCCTTGTGCATGCTAGGAAAGCACCCTACACTGAGCTACACCTTCAGCCCTCACCCTTGGCACGTGTGCACACATGTGGGTGTGGCACTGGAGACTGACCCCGGGCCTTTACACTGAGCTGTATCCTCTGCTCTTTTTACATTTTTACTTTTTATTTTGAGACAGAATCTTGCTAAGTCACTAAGCTGCCCAGACTGGGCTTGAATTTATGATCCGTCTGCCTCAGCCTCTGTACATCCCCTATAGGTATGTACCACCATGCCTACCCCTGCTTCCACTTCCAAATTGAGTTGTCTTTTTATTGTTGAGTTGTAAGAATTCTTTTTTTTTTTTTTTTTTGGTGCCGGGATCGAACTCACGAGCTTGTGTTTGCCAAGCAGGCACTTACGTTGCTGAGCTAAACCCCTGGCCCTGAGTTGCAAGAATTCTTTACATCTTTCAGAATACAAGCTCCATATTAGACTGTGATTGTGAACATTTCTTCCTGTTCTGTAGAAATGGATGCGGAGTCAAAGGATAAATGGAAATTCTTGTCTGCTGGAAATACTGTATATGCACATTTCCCTGACTTGTAGAAGAAGTGACCCCTCAGATGGAGAGGATGAGTGGAAGGATCACCAGCCTCAGTCCCACCAGCCTGTGGCCCCTACTGCCTCTTACCCGGATCTTGCTGTTGAGAATCCTGTCGTTGGCATCCTCATCGAAGCGCTTCTGTGGATACACATCGATGCAGTGACTTTTCAGGTCTTTCTGGATCTGGGGCCCAAACACAGGAGACTTCAGCCTGGTCTGCCCATTCTTCCCTTTGGTACCCAGATCTCAGCCCTGTCTTGGGACAACCAGATCACCCTGCTTCTGAAGGCCTCACGCTCCTCGATGGTCAGGCTGTCAGCCCGGGCAATCACGGGTACCACGTTCACAGTCCGGCACAGCCGCTGCAGGAACTCAATGTCCAGAGGTCGAAGGCTGCCCGGACAGGGCAGGGATAGCAGTGGCAGTGCCATTAAATGTATGAATGATGGGAAAGGCATGCTGGAGCCTAACCTGAGGACCCTTCTCTTTCATCTCCACCCCATGTGGGTAGCCCTCCCCGGGGTGCTCCAACAACCTCACCAGTGTCCAGTGGGTGGCACGAAGTACACACAGCAGTGCACCCGGGTGTCAGGGATGTGACGCTGGCGAGTGATTAGAATTTCCTCCTGCAGGTACTGCTCATACTGCTCATTGATGTAGCTCAAGATGGGTTCCCAGCTGACATGGAGATGCCGCCCCTCAGATTCCCATCACAGGACCTCTGTCATGCCTCCCTGGGCCTCTGGATGGTCTACTCTTAGGATCATTCTATCACCCTTTCCCATTCCCTGTGAGACACACTTCACCCCACCATTTTCAGCCTGAGTTCTCAGTGTCCTGATCTGTAAAACGGGGACAACAGCAGCAATTGCTTTGTATGAGAGAGGTGAGCATTGAATGACAGTTGGCCTCAGCCTGGTCCAAGCCACAGTTGACACTTGCAAGACTGCTGCAAGTCTCCTGACTCCCCTCTGTGGATTCCTCCCTCTGGAATAGATTATTTCCCAGAGGAGTCTGGGAGGGGATGTGGCACAGTGGTAGAGGGGTTGCCTCATTCTGTGAGACCCTGAGTTCCATCCTCAGCACCACAAAACTAAGACAAAACAAATCACATCCTTTTTTTCTGCTCAGCTTCCAAAGTCAAAGTCCCTACACTGCTCTACAAAGTGCTACACCTTCCCACAAGCTTTTCCTTCCTGCCTTCTCCCTGTCTCAGGCATCAGGCTTGCCCCATCTCAGGACCTTTGCACTTGCTGCTTCCTCTGCCTGGACCACTGTTCCCTTGCACACTCACATGCCTCCCTTCTTCTCTCCAGGAAGTCTGCCTCAAATCCACCCCTCCAGGAGGGGTACTTAGCATGTGCTCTACCACTGTGTCGTGTCACACCCCAGCTCCCATCTCCAGTGTGACCTCTTTCATACTGGTAAACGTTCTGACTCAGCCAGGCACGATGGCACAGGCCTGTAATCCTAGCTACTTGGGAGGCTAAGGAAGGAGAATTGAAAGTCTGAGGCCAACCAGGACAACTTAACAAGATCTTGTCTCAAAATAAAATGGACTAGAGAGGTACTTTGACATTCCCTGGTTAAATACCCAGTACCCTCTCCCCTCAGAACTTGACTGCATCATGTATATTAGGTTTGGCTCCCCTATAATTGATTTCATTCATCATCCGTCCTCCCTGTGCTCCCTCTTCTACTGAGGCTAGCGTGTCTACCTGTCTTGTTCCTCACTGGAATGCCCATGTCTAGAGCAGAGCTCAGCACATAGTAAATGCTCAGCAAAGCATCACGTGTAGCGCCAGCTTCACAGAAGGGCCACAGCGCATTCATACAAGGTGCCAAACTGAGAAGGCTGTGGTCTTAACATTTTTTTGATGGTGCTATTGGGAGCTGAACTAAGGTTGCTTTGCCATTGAGCTGCATCCCTAGAGCTCTTTATTTTTCATTTTGAGATAGGATCTAAATTGGGAAATTGCCCAGGTTGGGCTCACACTTGGATCTTTCTGCCTCAGCCTCCTGAATAGCTAAAATGACAGGAATGATACCATATAGTACTTGGTCTTAATAATTTTTGAATTAGGAGAGCCACATTGTCATTGCACTGGATCCCACAAATTAAGCAACTGATCTTGGATGTGTGTGTGTGTGTGTGCTCGTATGTGTGTTACCAACTCCTCTCAGGGAGTGTGTTCTTACTCCCAAGTTACTGTGAAGGAAAACATGGCTCTGAGAGCTCCATGACCCATCCTGGCTATGTAGCTGGGGAGCAGTCTGACTCTGGGGGTGCGGGCATCTGCACCTTGTGATACGCAGCCAGCCTTTCCTGAGGCTCACTCTGTACAGATGGCCAGCTGAGGCCTTCGTGTACCACCCTCTCCACAGTGTGGAGGGGGAGATAAGGACACCCACTGCACAGACAAGGAGACTGAGGCTGGAGGAAGACGCTTCCTGGGACCTCCCAGAGGTCAGAAGGGCAGCAGCAGGTGTGGGCTCTCTTGGACCCACCACTTGTCGTTGTTGATCTGGTCCCCGAAGCCAGGTGTGTCTGTCACTGTGAGTTTCAGCTTCAAGCCCTTCTCCTCGATGACTGTGGAGGGAGGGCAGAGGGTGAGCTTGGCCTGGGTGGGGCGGCAGGGAGTCAGGTGGGCTCACTCACCGTGGGTCACTGAGTGCAGCTGCAGCGTCTGGGGCGTGGGTACCCCCAGGCCTGGCAGGGTCGACTTCCATACTTTGGACTTGAACAACGTGTTCACCATTGTGGACTTGCCTAGCCCGCTCTGCCCTGGGAGGCCAGATGACAACAGTCATGGTAGGTATTTTAGGCAGCATCTCTCAAACTCTTAAATAAATATCATTTTTTGGAAAATAAACCTGGGGGCTGGGGATTTAGCTAAGCGGCATAAGCGCCTGCCTTGCAAGCAGGCAGTCGTGAGTTCGATCCCTGGTACCGATAAAAACAAAAAAGACAAGAAATAAAAAATAAAAATAAAAAATAAACCTTTGTTTTGGTCTTTTTTTGCTCCTGGGGATCCAACTCACGGCCTCGCACTTCCCAGGCAGGTACTTGTGCCACTGAGCTAAACCCCTGGGTCTTATTTTGTTTTTTTGAGACAGAGTCTCATTATATTTTTCAGACAGGCCTATGTATACTAAGCTGGCCTTGAACACATGGCAATCCTCCTGCTTCAGCTTCCTCAATTCTGGAATTACCAACTACCTGGCTTGGAAAATAAACTGTTTATTGACAAGTGCATGCTATTATAAGTGTCTCGTTCAGTGCTCTCCTTGTTTCTTTATGGGGGTAAAAAAATTTTTTAAATCAGTACTAGGGATCAAACTCACGACCATGTGCTTGCAAGGCAGGCGCTTATGCTGCTAAGCTAAATCCCCAGCCTTATGGGATAAAATTTATATTAAAAAATTAGTTGTTTTTTTCACTGGGGAGCAAAGTCAGGAGCACTTTACTGTGGAGCTATAACCCCAGCCCTTTAAAACTTTTAAATTTATTTTAGGAGACAGGTCTTGCTATATACTTCAGGCTGGTTTTTTTTTTTTTTTTTTTTTTTTTTTTTTGGTGGTACCAGGAATCAAACTCAGGACCTCACACTTTCCAGGCAGGCACTTATGCCACTGAGCTAAATCCCCAACCCCTTCAGGCTGCTCTTGAACTCACCATGTAGCCCAGGCTGGCCTTAAACATTTTTTTTTTTTTTTTTTTTTTTTTTTGGTACTGAGGATCAAACTCATGACCTTGAGCTTGCTAGACTTGTGCCACTGAGCTAAACCCACTGAGCTAAACCCCTGGCCCCGGCCTTGAACTTTTTTTTTTTTTTTTTTTTTGTCTTTTTCGTTTTTATTGGTACCGGGGATCGAACTCACGACTGCCTGCTTGCAAGGCAGGCGCTTATGCCACTGAGCTAAATCCCCAGCCCCCAGCCTTGAACTTTTAATTATTTCTCAGCCTCCTGAGGAACTGAGATTACAGGTCCGGGATACCAAGGCCCACTCTTTTTAATTTTCTTTTAAATTTTGAGTTAGGGACTTGCTATGTTGCTCGGCTGGGTTTGAACTTGATTCTCCTGCCTCAACATTCCAGAGTGCTGAGATAACAGATGTGTGACACCATGGTGCTATTTACTATTCAAGTGCACAGTAAAGTGTTGTTAACTATTTTTACAATGTCATGTTAACACCCCCTTTACCAGTTCCATGACATTTTCATTACCTCCAGTGAAAACCTTGTACCAGGCTGGGGATTTAGCTCACTGTTAAGTGTGAGGTTGTGAGTTTGATCCCTGAGACAAAAAAAATCCAGCTCTGTACCTCTGAAGCACTCACTCCCTTTCCCCGCACCCCAGACCTGGCACCTACTAAGTTACTTTCTATCCCTAATGGATTTATGTATTCTGGACACTTTCTGTCAATGGAAAATATACAGTGGGGCTTTTGGGCCTTGGTTCCTCTCCCTTAGTATAATGCTCATTCATTTTGTAGCATATAGCAGCCATTCTTTTTCATGGATGAACAATATTCCATTATAGGAATAAACTGAATCTTGTTCATTCATTGATAGGCAGCTCAGCAATTTGTTTTGGTATGTGTACAGCAGTACTGGTGATTAAATCTAGGGCCTTCTCATTGTGTTATACCTCCTATCTGTTAAAAAAAATTTTTTTTAAGACAGGCTCTTGCTAAATTGCCCAGATTGGCATTGAACTTTTGATCTTCCTGCCTCAGCCCTCCAGAGTGCTGGTATTACAAGCATATGCCATCATACCTGGATAGCTCAGTGAATTTTTACAAACTAATCACATTGAATCAGCATCAGTAGCACTGTAGTAAGACCACGCCTGGGTCACTAAGCCCAGCAGTCTGACCCTCTCCCCATTATTCCTTGTCATTTGCTTGGAACTCTATGGATAATTTTTGTCTCTAATGGCTTCTGTCTTCCTGATTTTCAAGGATGACACTCTCACAACATACCAAGATCAGGACCCCTTAACAGATGGGGAAACTGAGGCTAGTGAGCTGAGGTGACATATTCAAGCCCAGTGTTCAGGAGCCCCCTGCTTCTCTCACTCACCCACCACCATGACGTTGAACTCAAAGCCCATCTTCATGGCCTTAATCTTCAGCTGGTCCAGCACTGCCTCAATGCCCACAGAGGCAGGCATCTCGCAGGGTGGCGTCCTGGGGCTTGAGGGCCTCGAGGAGCAGGGGGAGGGGGATTGCCTCAAGCTGTCCATGGGACCAAGGACACAAAGATCCCTGTTCCAGGCTGTAGTTGGGAGAAGGCCTTGTTGCTGGGGCTTGCAGGACCCTGCAATGCTCACTCTGGTACCTAAACACAGTGCTCTACAAATAGCCACCACCCTTTATGCCACCCAGGTGAGCCCAAACCCCTGTGCTCACAGTTGGAGAGATTGAACCCCATCCCAAGGTGTTCTAGCCCCAGAGGTCTGCCGTTTCTACCGTTTGGGCAGGCAAGATGATCCACATTTGTCAGTGCCCAGGGGCTGTCACAGGAGTCCTGGAAGGGGCCCTTGGGAGTGGGGGAAAGGGGCGAGGTTCTTGTCCTAGCAGAGAACTTGGAGGGCAAGCTGTGCCCCACCCTGCCCTTGGCAGGGACACACAGAATTGGCAAAGACAGGGAAAGGAGAGGCATGAAGGGGATGAGATACTCAGAGACACAGAGGCTGAGACCAGGCTGCAAGGGGCAGGCAGGCAGCCTCTGAGGGAGGAAGGCTGGGAGCCAGCTGTACCTCACAGAGGCCTGGAAGAGGATATCTGTGCACCTGGCAGATGAGTTCCTGTGGAGCTTAGGGCAGACAGCAGGCCTTAGTGCATGCTTTAAGGGGGAGGGGAGAGGTGGCCGTTAACTGCAGAATCTGAGCTCCATCCCTCCCTCCTGTGACCCCACCCTCACGCCCTCAGTAGGAAGGGAGCCAAGGAATGTGAACAGATCTTTTAGGCTTTTAAAAAACATATTTATTTTGTGGTATTGGGGATTGAATCTAGGATCCTCATACCAAACTGCATCTCTGTCTGGCTTTTTTTTTTTTTTTTTTTTAATGTCGAGAGTTGAACCCAGGACCTCACATTTGCCAGGTAGACACTTGGCCACTGAGCTAACTTCCTGGCCCTGATTTGTTTTTTTAAAATACTTTTTAGGGCCAGGGATTTAGCTCAGAGACATATGCGCCTGCCTTGCAAGCACATGGTCATGAGTTTGATCCCTTGTATCAAAAATTTAAAAAAAAAATTTTTTTTATTGTTTGAGACAAGGTCTTACTAAATTTCCTGGGCTGGGTTTGAATTTTGATCCATTTCCGCTTCTAGACAGTTGGGATTGCCGGTATGTGCCACCATACCCGGCTACCCTCTAGGCCCTTTACACTGTTTGCTCAGACTATCATACTCAGGGTGACCCTGGCTAATCACACATGACTCCCTCTTAGAGAAGGTGCTGAAGTCCCCAGGGCAGCACCTTACACTGAGACCACCAGCTGGCAAATGTCAGAGCTGGATTTAGACTCTGCCAAGGGGAAGGAAACTGAGGACCCACAGCCCCAAAGCAGAAGATCTCTGTGTTTCCTTTGGTCCATCAATTATTGGCACCATCAAATTTTAAACTGCAGCCCTGAAAAACCAAGAGTTCTGATGGGATTGTTCTGGTAGCCCTGGGGTATTCCCTTATTCAGTAGTCACCACCCTTCAGAATAACTGCAACCGCCACCCACAGAGCCGGTTGCTCAAGGACACATGGGGAGGAAAGGGCACAGCTGGCCCTCTACCTCTAGCTGAGTCTTGTTTGTTCATGGGAATGTCTGCATTTCCAGTGTCTTAGGGATGACAGCCAGGGCCACCCTCCCCTCCTTAGATGGCATGACCCCTCTGACTACTGCCACCTGTGAAACCGAAACTCTAAAGGCTGCAGGATCTCTGAAATAGAAGGGGTTATTGAGCCATCAGAGATGCTACCCAGAAACAGAGAAGACCATGTCCTAGCACAAGTACCTGCAACTACCTGGAGAGGCAAGCAGTGGTTGGAAAGGCAGGTAAGAGAGGTTTCATACATTTTGGGGAAGGAAGACAGTGCAACCTGATTTGGCTAAGGAGAAGCGGATGGGAGAGGCCAGGCGTGGTGGAGCATGCCTGCAATTCCAGCACTCTTAGATGCTGAGGCAGACAGGTTGGTTCAAGCCTAGCAACTCAGTGATTTAGTAAGACCCTGTCTAAAACAAAATTTAAAAGAAGAAGAAGGGGTAGCTCAGTGAGAAGGGCCTAGTTCAATCTCCCAGCACTGAAAAAAAAAAGGAGGGTGGGAGAGGAGAGCCATCAGTAAGACGTCCCTGTTGCTTCTGGTAAATTGAGACAGCTCACTATTTCCTTATTCTGTGCTGGGAGTGGAACCCAGGTCCTTGTGTGTGCTACTAGGGAGCTACACCTCCAGTCCGAATTCCCCTTTCCTTTCAGTCCTCCCCCATCCCTACTGTCTCTCCAACATGATGCTTCTTTCACCCAGCTCCTCTCACCTTGTTCTTTCCTACCTGCTGTCTGGTTCCTGCCTTTGCAAATCTGAGCAGTCCTTTGCCCCAGGACTTGGGGACCATTTTCTGTAGAGGGCCAGATAGACCCTATTTCAGACTTTGCTCTTCAGGCCTAAAGTCTGTGTTGCAACCACTGTTCAATTCACCTGAGACCACCTGTAGGTAGACAGGTCTCACTCTGTTCTAGCACAGCACTATTTACAGACACATGGTGCTGGAGTGTGCGCCCTGTTTGATCCCCAGTCCCCCTGCCCCTCCAGCCCTGCCACCAAGCTGTTCACTGTGACATTATCCTGGGTTGGGTGCTCCCTCCACTGCCCTCACTCCTGGGATAACAGAGGCTTACCTGTAAAGCTCAGAAGGGGGAGTGGGCAGGAGGGGCCAAGGATACAGCAGAGCTTGCCCTGTAACAGGGTCACAGTCAAGGGAAGTCTCGCAGGTCCCACTGTGACCAAACCTAAGTGAGGGCATTACTAGTGGAGGACACCATGGTCCCAGTGACCCGAGAGCTGGACAGAAACAGCAGGCTGTACTTCTGGGGACATCCCCTAAGGAAAGAAGCCTCTGGGCAGAGAAACATTTCCTCCAGAACATCTACCCTGTGTGCGTGACAAGTACTTGTGGAAATCAGGGGAAATGCCCCAGTAGAAGCCAAGAGGGATTCACTAGATTGGTGACAATTTGAACATCAACCGTAGCCTTATCAAATATTCCCAACATGGGGACAGCTAATATTCCCATTTTACAGATAAGGGAACTGAGGCAGAGGGAGTTGAGGTAACCAGTACAAGCTCACAAGTGGGTAGGTTTAAGGGCTGAAAAAGGCAAGGGATAGATTCTCCTCTATACATCCCCATCAGTCCCCATGTTAGCCTGTGGCCTTCAGAACTGAAAGGTAATAAACTTGTGCTGTTTGAAGCCACTGAACTTGTCATAGCTTGGTTCTGTAGCAACAGGAAATGAATATACAGAATGTGTCAATTGGGCTGGTTGCTTGAACTTCACTAAGGCATACATTTTTTTATGTGTGACCTGGGAAAATATGAGGCAAGGCATATATAGTATAACGTTAGGTGTTTTGCTCCTGTTAAACTGAAAATCACGTGATCAAGAAATTGTGTCCATCTGTTTTACAGTCCGGTCTCAAGGCTCAACACTGATTGGTCCCTGACAGGCCATGAAAGCACCAGAAAGATGCTTTCTGGGGAGGCTTAGCGATGTCAGGATCAAGTGGCCCAAACCTTTGAGTTTCGGGGAAGCTCATCTGAGACACTTTCTTTGTAGGGATTATTTCAAGGAAAACTACTAGGAAAGGGACGGGACCCAGCACAAGCTTTCCCTCCTTCCGTCTCCCACGGCCTATATGCTTCTCTCCCTTCCTTCTTTCACCCAAGTCAACAGTGGTTTAATGCCCACCTATTCTCAGCACCTCATCTGATACATTAGAAGACTACACCAGCTAACCAACCCAAGGAAAATCCTGGGAAGGAGGCAGCTGCCAGGCCACAGCCCTAGGGCCTGGGAGGGCGGAGCTGGTTGCCAGGGCCTCAGGTGATGTGGATCCGGAAGTAGGAAACAGTCTGAGCCCAACTGGGGAGCGCAGGTGGGGAAGCTTCCTAGACGCTGCTGAGGCAGGTGGGGTCCGTCTGCTCAGGACTCCCAGGGAGGGAGGAGGCTGGCGGAGGGGGTGGGAGCTGCCCAGGAGGGGGCCAGGTGAGGAATGGAATTAAAACTGGCCTTGGGGCGCTAAGGGAGGTAGAACTGCTGGGGCCTGGGGCAGGAGCAGGGCCTGTTTTGAGGTGCCCTCTGGGGCCCCTGACAGGTGGCTCCCGCTGGGATGAGTCTGTCCATGGAGGAGCTCGAGGTCACAGCTCAGGAAGTGCTGGGAAGACTGAAGAGCCACCAGCTGTTCCAGTCTGAGTGGGACACTGCTGCCTTCGTGGTCTTTCTCACTTTTGCGGGTGAGTGGTGGCCACTGTCTCCAGGTTGCCCCATCAGCCTCTGTGCTGGGGCTACATTTGGATAACTGCCCTGTCCCTAGGCACTGTGCTGCTCCTGCTGCTTCTGGTCATTGCCCACTGCTGCTGTCACTGCTGCTGTCCCTCCACCAAGCCCCGGAAGGTGAGACCCAGGAAAGTGATCGGGGAAGAGGGTCCTGGGGGAGATATGCTCCTTCTGTGCAGGGGTGGGCAGAGGACCATTTGGGATCAAGGAATGGCTGCCACACAGGCCCTCTCTGTACCTCTCTTGCAGGAAAGACCCAAGGGAATAGATAACTTGGCCATGGAACCCTAACATTAGACCCTTGGCATGTGTCCTGATGCCAAAGAAACAAAGCTTGACTACTGTGAGCCTGAGCCTGGACTGTGTCTCTAGACCTTGCAGGTGGGCAGCACAGGGACTCGATGCTCCATAAGGACGCCAGTGTCCCCCTAGGTCACCCCGCTCATGGCCTCAGAGATAGGGCCTGAGCTCTTGATCCTGTCCTGCCTGGCCCCATGGCAGCCTCAGGACCCTGTCTCAAAGGTAGGTTTGTGGGGAAATCTGGCCCTGGAAACGGGGGAGGCTGAAAACAGGGAGACCCAGCCTGGTACCCACAGACAGAGACAAGGGCTCCAGGCAAAGTCTGATTTTTATTTCTCAGAGGCTGTGTGTTGAGGCTTCAGAAGAAATGTCCCAGGCATACAGCTCATTCACAGGCCGGTTCAGCAGATGTCCCTCTTCCTGCCCTCCCAACGCACAGCTCAGGGCCCCACCCTCAGCTGGAGCTGAGTGGCTTCCCCCTACAACCCTGTGGCAGCTGGAGAGGAAGGAGAGGCCTGGCTTGGCCCTACCCTGAGTCCAAAGGTTCCCAAGATTCCGGGAGGGAAGGGCTGTGTGTGTGTGGCCACCTGTTAGCCCCACCTTCCTGAGACAAAACCTCAACCAAACACAAACACAACCAAACCCAAAACCAGTGAGTGTCCTTCCTCCTGGCAGCAGCAGTGCAAATGTATGGGGCAGGGCCAGTGAGGAGATAAATAACACTATGAGGAGTGTGTGGGTGGGAAAAAGGATCCTATGGGCAAGAGCCACCCTCCCAGGCACAGGCTCCTGGGGAGCTCAGAAGGGTCTGTAGCTCCAGTAGCTGGAGAACACGGAGATCTGTGGAGGGAGGGGCACAGTTAGCAGAATCCTGGGAGTGTGGTCATCACCCTCCAAGGCTCCCAACGAGGTCTAGGTCAGTGCTGGGGAGAGCATTGCTCCCAGGAGCACTCTGGTCTAGCTGTCTGGTGTGTGGTATACTGGCTTTTTTTAAGTACTGGGAATTGAACTCGGGACGTTGCACTTGCCAGGCAGGTGCTTGTGCTACTGAGCTATATCCCCAGCCCAGTAGTTTAAGACCGGGGGGGGGGGGGGGGGGGGCGGCACCTAGGACATATGACAAAAGCCCTGGAATCTCTCTCCCCAGAACAAATGGACTCAGCAGTTCTGCCATCTGGCGGGGGGTTGGAGACCCTGTTCCCCCACAGCATCCCCAACACACCTTGTCCTTGAGTTGCTGGCAGAGCTGCAGGGAGACAGTGAAGTAGACCAGAGCATCATTGAGCCAGGGGATCACACATTCCACCTTGTGCACATGACTCACCTCCAGGCGCTGTGAGCCCCACTCACTGGGAGATGAGCGGTGGTCTCTTGAGTGGGCCTGGGCCCAATGCCTGGTGCAGCAGGGTGAGGGGAGGTATGCCACAACCCCCCTGTGTACTTACAACATGGCCCCTGGGCTGTGTAGCACCGCACCTCCAGCTGGGCGGAAGTTCTAGGTAGAGGAATAGCACCTGGTCAAGTTTCCTGAGGCCTTGGGGTAGGCACACTGTGTAGTGCAGGGTCGGGGTCCACTCACCTTGGTGGAGTTGGGCTGCAAGGTATGCAGCTGGTACACGGTGAGGCATAGCTTGTTTAGGTTGATATAGACGTTGACTAGCAGATCGGAGGGCAGGGTAGGAGCAAACATCCGCTGGTGGGTAAGAAGTGGAAGGTGAGAGCCCACTCACCCTAGACTATACTTGTGGGAGCACAGCTTCTGTAGGATCACCGAATGGGGATCCCAGTCTCTACTCTACTCCTCCCGCCAAGAGACAGTACCCTGGGACCCTCCTGTGCTGCTGGTTTGGGATCCTGGCCCAGAGCAGCGTTAACACATTTGGTGGACTGGGGACAGAGGCCTAGAACCCCACCAAGAATCTCTACAGACACAGACTTTGATCAGCTGCAGTCAAGGGGATGGCACTCATGTCCCTCCCACAAACAAGCTCTGGGCTGGTCAGGGAGCTGGGGTTGGTCAAGGTACTGACCGTGAGGCCACTGGCTGCGATCTCAGGCAGGGTGAGGGTAGCTGGGGTGGTGAGCCGGTTGCGGGCCCTGGTCAGTTGCAGCATCACAGCATCCATGAGCTGGGGAGGTGGATGTACAGCTGCTGTGCAGGATTGGGTCTGGTCCCCACTCCTGCTGGGTGTCATGGTTCTCATGCCTGACCCCCACAGCCTCAGCAGGCATGACCTCATTCAGGAGGTTCTGTGTAGGGGCTCTGGTGCTGGCCCCAGAGGGGTAAGGATTCTGGGAGCTAAGTCCCAGAGAACAGGCTTTGATGAAAGCAATGAAGAGCTTAGTAGAAGATAGGACAGGAATTCGGCTTGGGTCCAACTAGCTAGGGGGAGTGTCCTGGAAAAGGTAATGGGATGGCTGAGTTGAGGTCTTGAGTTTTTGCAGTCGAGAAGACTGAGACTCCCAAGGGTAAGCCACAGTGGACACGAAAGTCATCTGGAGGCCTCCCTCTTTTCTGGGCGATGGAGCAAAGCCTTGGGCTACTCCTCAGAGCCTCAATGTCCATGGACTCCAAAGGTGAACCAGTTAAGGACATACAGCAAATTAGGGGCAGAACTGAAGCACAAGTCCCAGGAATCTAAGTCAACTCTCCCACAAGCTTTGTAATTTTGTTTCTTCAGTACTGTACTGGGGATTGAACCCAAGGTCTTTACACTGAGCTATATCTCTAGACCTTTTTTTGTCTTTTTCCTTTTCATCGGTACCGGGGATCGAACTCATGACTGCCTGCTTGCAAGGCAGGCGCTTATGCCGCTGAGCTAAATCTCCAGCCCCGCTTTTTTAAATTTCCAGACAGGACCTTGTTAAATTGTTAAATTGCCCAGACTGGGCTCAAAATTGCAGTCTTCCTGTCTCAATCTTCCAGAGTGCTGGTTACAGGCATGTACCACCACATCTAATTTCATTTTACAATTAAAGACTTTTACAGCTGTGATGACTGCTATAGTAAGTAGCAGAAGTTGGCTGGCACTTGCTGGGGGCCACTTTTGCCTGCATACCACAGTTAACAGCTACAACAGCTTGTCCCTATTTTACAGGTGAGAAAACACAGGTACATTGTGACTAAACAAGTGACTACATTGCACAGTTCACAGCTGGGGCCCAGGGACTGGATCTCAGGTTGTGAGCTGCTATGCTGCATGGGGACATGTGAACAGAGTGGAAAGAGCCTAATGCTACACCCTAGGCATGAGGGCACAGGGCCAGAGGTGTCCAGGGACCCAGGCTAGGTCAGGGCAGTTCACCTTGAGGACTTCAGCACCTGTCTTGAACTGATAGCTCTCATCTCGGTGGGTGAGGAGGTAAATGGCTTGGCTGACATGGTTTCGGGCATCCTGGATCTGAAAACACCATCCACCCAGCAGTTATTAGGCTAGGTCTTCTCAGCATGGTTCCAGGGCCCACAGCACAGGTCCAGGGCAGAGCCACTCTTGGCCTGACTTGGTGGAGGGCTGCAGCCTGACCTGCCCCTTTCCCCAAAGCTGCTCTCTCTGTGCCCCAGAAGCCAGGCTCAGACTGCCAGGGGCTGAAGTAGCCCTGTTCTCTGCCCTCAAGGAACTCACCTAGAGGAGACAGAGACAGTGACAAGTCTGTAAGACTACCCAGGAGGAAACCAACAAGTGGCATGGGAACACAAAGGAAGCGTTGTTGGATGGGGTCAGAAGAGCTGGTGGAAATCAGTTGGGCCTAGGTTTGGTTCCTGAGCCACAGCAAGTGCCTGGAGGCTCAAGCAGGGGAATGGCTTGTGCACAGGAATATCAGCTGTCCCAGCAGGGTCAGAGGGTCCACAAGCACAACAGATCCCCTATTTCCTGCACAGAGAAGGCTGTGGGGCCCTTGCCACTGCCTCTGCCTAGTTTTGCTGCTAAGAAAAGCACTCTCAGGCAAGCTGTGTGGCTACAAATCTACTATCCAGGCCAGCTCTGGGGCAGCCAGAGCTGAGCCTGCTCCTGCCCTGCCCCTCCTGAGCCTGTGGTTACCTGTTGCAGCTTCCATTGCTTGTCCTCCCGGAAGGCCAAGTGCAGCAATTGGTTGTTCCGGGGCATCTTCAGGTTCACATCCTGACAGGAAGAGTGAGATAAGCAGGGTAGGGAGAAATCTTCATGCTTTTGGCTACTCTGAACTCTGAAGCAAGGGTAGCTCAGGTGAGGAGCTCTTGAGGTGTCAGCTAGAGGTAGTGGTAGAAAATGGGGAGGTCAGAAAACAGGAACTCAGGCCCAAGAGGAGCCACAAAGAGGAAAAAGGGAAAAGAGATGGAGAAAGAAAGGTGGTAGGGGAGGGTAGCTATCACATGATGGTGGCCAACAGACAGAAGGCATGACAAAAAGTGACTTTTCTCCAGGCCTGGGAGCCTGACAAAGGGCTGGACTCGCAGATCGGTGCTCAGATGTTGGTTGATTCGACTTTGTTTCAGGGCTAGCTGGATCCTGTCAATGTTCATGCTTCACTGGGTCTAGGAGTCAGGCTGAGCCAAGTGCAAAGCAATTACTTTCCTGCACCTCTCACAAAATTCACACTCCAGTCCCACAAGAAGTGTAGGGGCTGCTGTCAGAGGTCAAGAATCCCGTCCAGACTCACCAAGCTGGCTGATGGCAAAGCTAAGCAGGAAGCCCCCATGCTATTCCCAATGGCAAGATGGGAAGGGGAGAGGGGAGTTTGAGGGACTCACCGCCTGGCTGAGGGCATCTCCTTGCAGAGTCAGCACACCCTTCACCTGGTCTGTGCTACAACATGTGGGGGTCAGAGGGGGACCACTGGTGGCCCTTCCTTCTGCCTCTGGCTTGTGTCTGGCTGTTCCAGCATGCACCACAAACCCATCTCTGTAGGGTACAGCCGCAGCCAAGCCTCCTGTCCCCAAGCACCTCTACCAAGGCCCTTCCTCTACATTTCTGCATAGCTTACCCACAGCTGCCCAGGATGAAGTTTTCCTGCTTGACCGGGCCCTCAGTGCCTGAACCAGGCAGAGTGAAGCGCAGAGAGGCCTCCTGTGGGAGACAGAACAGCTACAGCTCTTTCCAGAGAGCTCCATACCTGTAATAGCTGGGGAATGCGTGGTAGGCCGGCCTGACCCAGATCTTAGCTGAGGTGGGTGGTTGCACTCTGGCCAAGGCCCCACTCCCACAGCCTGAACCTCAGGGCCCAAATAAGCTCAGATCTGGTCATTGCACACTGAGCACCTACTCTGTGTCTCCTATGGGGAAAGCAGGACAGTGGTCTCCTGAGCTGAGGTTCTGGGTATGGGGAGCACAGTTTTGACCCCACAAGGCACCGGTTTACTTATCATAGTACCACTGCTCATTGCTTTTGTAAATGAGGAAAAAGGGGCCCATAGAGGTTGAGTAACCTGAGATCGCACTGTAGGGAGAAGGGCTAGCAATCCTTAGCTCTTAAAGTACAGACCATAGCTTCAAAGAAAGCCTTCCTCGCTAGATAAGGGAGGAAGGGCTTGCTCTAGTGGGACCCACTGCACTCACATAACTGCTAGTGTTAACTGAGTACAGCTGTGCTGAGGCCACTACTAGATTATGTTCAGCGAGGCAGAGGCCTTGTCCTCACCGCTATGCCTAGCATTCTGCGGTCGCCCAGGCAACAGCCGCATCGTCACTAGTCGCAGGTGCACCGTGGGAGGAAGGGCAGGCGGGGGCACAGCGAGTGCAAAGGTCCAGGGGCAGCCTAGCGCGTTACCTTGAGGATGTCCTGCAGCTGCCTCAGCACAGCATGCACTTCGGCGTGCAGCAGCCAGCGGAACTCCTCCTCCTGCGGACAGCGCTGCGGTCACAGCCCGCCCGTCGCCCGCCCGTCACCCACCCGTCGCCCGCCCGTCTGCTCACTAGGACCGCCCGCTCCGCTGCCGTCGCTGCCATCGCGGTCGCCATCGTCGCAGCTGCGGCCCAGCGCTGTCGCGGCCGTCTTCCCGACGACGGTACGCCGCGCCAGTGCCTGCCCTTAGCGCCGATTGGCGGAGCGAGTGCGGGCCCCACCCTCAGGCCGTCTCCGAGTCGGCAATTGGCCGGCAGTTCACGAGATCAACGGGATTCCCAGATCGAGGCTGCGTATATTGACACTGCCGGCACCTGCCCTGGGAGCGGTCGTGCAGGGATCCCACAGACTGCAGCCAGCGCTACTCCCCAGGCCCTTGAACGCTGATTGGCCTCCACGGCCCGCATTTGTCCCGCCCCAGGGAAAGCAAGATTTGGAGTCTGGGGGCCTATGGCGCACCGGCCCAAGCGTCGCGAGCTCCTATGGCACAACTGTATTACCAAGAAATGTTTTATTTTTCTTGCAGTAGCTTTGTTAATTGCACAAAATCATGTTTTTTTTTTTTCCCATTTAAACATTATCACACAATCCTATTCTGAAAGACAAATGTTCATTAAAAATAAAGCAAAAATAAAAACTCACAACCTTATTCACCTAAATTTGTCATTTAAAGGTTTAAAGGATGTAGAAGGGCTTTCTTACAAGCTTTTTCACAAGTGTCACATTTTCTCTTTAAAAGGGAAGGATTTCAAAACAAAGGTGAAATAGCTTAAACAGAAATACTCATAAAAAGAAACTTTACAGAATTGTCAACAATATTAAGACAACATTGACTAACCGGTTTCATTACAGTGCCTTCCCCCACCCCCACCCTCAGTGTGTCCACCAAGACTAGGACAGGCTGTATTCAGATAAATGAGTTCAAAATCCCAGTGAAACAAACGAGTGTGCCGTACCCCGCAGACATCTTCCCAGCCCCACACCAGTGTGGCCACCTGACACAGTTAAACTGTAAATTGTGACTTTGGAAAACCACCCCATGAGAGGGAGAAAAAGCTGACATCCCTTGGGGGAACTCCTCCTTGTTCTCATGTGACACTTTAAGCCGCTGGTCCCCTATCCAAGGAGAAATGTTAGGGCCTCAAGGATGTCCCAGCTCCACCTCTGAGGGTCAGTTCAGGTTAGGTCAGGCCCAGTTCTCTCCCATCTAGCAAACCCTGGCCTGGGTACCACTGAAGAGCATGATGCTGGCTGGAACAGACATTCCCTATCAAGAAGTGAGCCTTAGAAATGCTGATCATTGGTCAGGCTGGGTTTGTGCCAAAGACAGGACAGACAGAAATACTGTCTCCATGGGAGGAAAAGTGGGTAAGAAGTGAAGAGAGATGGGGCATGCAGAGGATCTGTGCAGTGCAGGTTGGGCCAGGTTGGCCAGCTCAGTGGCTCTTCAGAGCCAGGTAAAGATGGTGGCATAATGGAAATAGGAAGGAGCAGCCCTCACTCTCCACTGCTCAGGGTCCTGAGGGCAAGCTTCCCAAGAGCTGGAATGCAAATCCAAACACTATAACAGCCTGGCAAACAGCAGACTCCCACTGCAGGGAAGCAACAAACTTGGACCCAGCTCAGGCTTGCAGTACCAATGGGTGGTAAGCAGCAGCAGGGAGCTAGGGGCCAGGCTCATCTGCAGCCTGGCTGCTTGCTACTCTTGCTGCAGAGCCAAGTTCGCCTCTGTGGGATGGTGGCAGTCTCTTCTTAGTTTACAAAGGCCTTTACAAAAGAGGTGGGTGCACATCGGTAGCTCAGACTTGAAAATCCTCCTCAGCTGAGGCTGGAGGGCCCTTAGGAACTGTGGCTGGGAGTTGGTGCTGGTTCATCCTGGCCCTGAGCCTCTCCCTGCAGGGGTCCAGGTAGGGACGAGGACACAATGTTGACCTCTGCTGATTTTAGTTCCTCAAGTGGAAGGGGTTTGCTAAGACAAGCTTAGAAGAAAAGAAGCCAGGCAGCAGCAGTTTCTGGGTAGCTTCTATCCTGGGGTGAGTGTGTGTGGGGGTGAGAGTGTGTGTGTGTGTGTGTGTGTGTGTGTATGTGTGTGTGTGTGTGTACACATGTACAGCCACCTAGTTGGGGCCAGTGCCCAGCTCAAGAGCTTCCTCACAAGCCAACCTTGGTAACACCCCTCCCTCCCAGGGCTTCAGGGAGGGGTACTGCTGTGTGCTGTGCTGATGGCAAGTCTCGAGTCTGTATAAAAGGAAATGGAGACAGGTGGACTGGTCCAGAGTTAAGTCACAGAACCCCAACCCCATATCAGGAAAACAGGGTTGAGGGAAGATCAGAGGGGTGGGGCAGGGCATCCACGGTTTAGTGTATGTAGGCTCGGTACACTGCAGACATATCATTGTCAGACTGGTCCAATGCCTTGGCTCTTTTGTATACCTACGGGAAAAACAAAACAAAACAAAGAAATTGGTTACAGAGCTACGTTAAACACCTGGTCTTGATTTCTGAGGCAATGGTAGATTAGACAGCTAAGCAGGCAGGTCCTGGAGCCAAGGCTGTCCAAGTAGGAGTCCTTGCCACCGATTGGCAAGTGGCCTCAGCCACTGATTGATCTGCAGAAGGTATACTGTACTGACCTTCTTAGGGTTATGGTGAGGTTACGTACTGAGGGATATGAAGTGCTCAGTGTAGTCAGTAATTACAGAAATGTCCCTTGATACAGAAAATCCTTCAAGGATGTCCCACATTATCCTCTGGGCTTCTGTGCCTGCTATTACCAATCCATCCCTAGAGCCTAGAATGGCAGGCTATCATCAGCCATCTTAGAAGTGCTAATGAAATTATTAATAATGCATATTGCAACCCTTAATAGTAACCACTAAAAGGTAATTGAGCTGGGAATGTGGCACATGTTTAGAATCCCAACACTCCAGAAGCTAACAAAGGAGGATTGATTTGAGGTCAAGGCCAGCACAGTGAGACCTTCTCTCAAAAAACAAAAACAGAAACAAATACAGGTCTTACTGTGTAGTTCAGGCTGGCCTTGACCTCACAATGTGGACCAGGCTGGCCCCCAACTCCCAGTAATCCTCTTGCCTTGACCTTCCGAGTGCTGGGATTACACGTGTGCACCACCAGGCCTGGCTTGAGACCCTGTCTTCAAAAATCAAAACCCAAACCAAACTAAACTGGCACAATGCACCACCCTCCAACTCTAGAAAGCCAAAACCAAAACAAAAAATAACTCTAAAAGGTAACGCAAAGACACATAGTAAAAAAGCCAAAAGATAAGTGAAAATGAAATTCTAAAAAATATCCAAATAACCCAAAGGAGGAAAGAAAGAGAAAATGATGAAGATGGGGTGACAAATACAAATGGTAAAAGGAATAGTTCTAACTGGGCAGAGTGGTGAATCCTTGAAATACCAGCTACTAGAAAGGCTGAGGCAGGAAGATCAAGTTCAAGGTTAATTTAGCCCAACCTTACCTCAAAATAAAAAATAAAAAGGCCTGGAAATGTAGCTCAGTGATATAGTATTTGCCTAGCATATTTGAGGCTCTAGGTTTAATTTCCCAGTACTAAACAAAACAAAAAAAAAAAAGGTAGTTTTTAGGTCTAAATACATCGCAATATGGACACTAAATGTTCAAGGACTAGTTATTACAATCCTGACCACTGACCAATGCAGAGCCTAAATTCACACTATTCACTGGCTCCATTGTGAAATCAATCAAATACTACTTCTAAGCCAATCTGGCTGAGTCAGGATGGAGGTAAGTCAGAAACCAACTTCAAAGAGGTTTCTCAGCCCGAGCCATATATGGAACCCTTCCAAAGTGTTACAGTTAAAGAACAAAGAAGGGACAGGAGGCACAGCTATTAGGAAAGAAAGATTATAAGTCAGTGATAGTGAACCTTTTAGAGCTTTCAATACAAAATAGCCACTATAGCAAGCGTGCTATAGATTGGCCATCACTGAAAGAAAATCCAAGAATAGTACCACGTTTCTCATTTTTTCTTCACTTCTCAAAGACCTGAGACCTCTAATTCTTTAACATAATCAAAATATGTTATCAGCTAGGCCTGGTAAGACACACCTGTAATCCTAACTACTCAGGAGGCTGAGGTAGAATTGGAAGCTTTAGGCTAGCCAGGGCAGCTTAGATCCTGCCTTAGAAAGGGAGCTGGGCGTGGTGGCTCATGCCTGTAATCCTAGCACTCGGGTGGCTGAGGCAGGAGGATCATTGCGAGTTCAAGACCAGCCTGGGCTACAAAGTGAGCTCAAGGCCAGCCTGAACTGCACAGTGAGACCCTGTCTCAAAAAGACTAAATAAAATAAAATAAAATAAAATAAAAAGGGTTGGGGATATACTCAGTGATAGAACATTCTAGGTTCAATCTGCAGTATTGCCTGCCCCCCGCAAAAGTACCAACTGACAGAACCTGACAATTAGTGCCTAATATAAATGATTTAATGGTTTTATGTATGCATTTTATAAGTTACTATAATTGTATAGTAAAGACAAATATTGCTCAGTTATTTTTGCTAAAGGTTAAGCTTCTATAAAACACTATCCTTGAAAACTGTTTCTAGGGCCAAGGGTTTAGCTCAGTGGTTTAAGTGCCCACCCAGCAAGTGTGAGGTCCTGAGCTCAATTACTGGTGCCAAAAAAAATAAATAAATAAATAAAAATAAAAACAAAAAAACCAAACAACTGTTTCTAAGCCAGAAATGGTGGCACATGCTTATAGTTCCAGCTACTCAGAAGGCTGAGGGTAGAGAACTGCTTGAGCTCAAGATTCTGAAGCTAGCCTGGAAGACACATAGTGAGACTCCACCTTAAAAAACAAAGCTAATTAGCTCAGCAGGGTAAGTGCCTGCCAAAAAAAAGAAAAGAAAAACCAAAACCAAAACAAAGCAAAAAACCAAAAGAAAATCTGTTTCCAAAAGTGTATGTATAATTAAGTGCATGTTTAATACATCATTTGGGGAGATGCTAATAGACTAAACACTCCAATTAGAAGGTAGACACTAACCAATTATGGTGACACACACTGTAATCCTAGCATTCTGGGAGGCTGAGACAGACAGATCACAATTTTAAGACCAGCCTGTGCAATTTAAGAGGGAGCTTTCAAAATAAAAAGTGCAGCTAAAGTGCTCAGTTCTTTTGAGGGAGGTAAAGCCACGTTCATCCAGAGACTAGCATTGCGCCTGGCAGCCTGCAACACGGCCTCCATCTCTGAGCTTTCCTACATCTACTTGGCCCTGATCCTGCGAGATAATAAATGAACATCGTGGAGGATAAGATCAACGCCCTCATTAAAGTGGCTGGTGTCAGTGCTGATTCTTTTTG